AAATTCAATAGTATTATTAATAAATGTTGTCAATGTAATACTCATTTTATAATAAGTAATAGATGTGTAGATATATTTTTAATTTATAAATAGCTTTCAAAAAATTCCAAAAATAAAATTTTAAATTAAATTATTTGACAATAAACTGACAAATAATACTTGAATAGAATACAATATATTCAAACAAAATATGAATATTTGTTGCCATAGCAAAATAATGCTAAAATTTTCTTTTTTACAATTAAATAGTCAATTTTACTTTAATTAAATAAAATCTGTTTTTAAATGTTCAGGATAAAAGATTTGAATGATCAGTGGAAAATAATTACTGTATTGAAACGCGAACGAAAATTTTGAAAATAAAATTAATGTAAAGAATATTTGTTGCCATAGCAAAATAATGCTAAAATTTTCTTTTTTACAATTAAATAGTCAATTTTACTTTAATTAAATAAAATCTGTTTTTTAATGTTCAGGATAAAAGATTTGAATGATCAGTGGAAAATAATTATTGAAACGCGAACGAAAAAATTAAATATAAATAAAATCAATTAAATATTATGGAATCTCTAGATTATAAGAATTAGATACATTTAGATTTCCATCACGTCTTTTAAAATAAAAATTCTGACAATAAAATTAATGTAAATTTTATTTAAATTGAATTAAGTATAAATTACTATTAAACTAAATTTTTTGCAATGTTTTATTAATAAATATTGAGAGTATAAGTCAATACCATCGTCATAATTTTATTTTTAAATACAATATGGTCATATTAAAACAATTACATGCTTAATTATTTTATCACCAGACAGAAAAATGAAAAAATTACATTTGTTTTATATCTGGATTGCCAATATCGTTTATAAATTTCCATGTATAGTTCGTTCATAAACACGAAGAGTATCTACTCGTTTAGACCACTTGTTACAAACTTTAAACATATAAACTCTTTGAACTGCATCATGAACCATCAGTTGATGCCTACGCTACATTTTGCTTTCCTCCGCTTATCTGCAGGAAATCTGAACAATCGAACGTCGGTAGACTTACTTTTACAATTAGGTGCAACACAATAACCCATTGCTTAACGTTTT